GGCCACGGAGAGCCCCAAGCCAGGACTTCGCCAGGCGCCCCCCAGCGTGAAGCCCATCTCATGCCCGGCTCATCCCCAACGCCAAAGGCCATGCTGGGATGGAGCCCAGTCTCCAGATGAGAAAATGAAGGCCCAGAATCAATCATCTCAACTCAACCCTTCCCGTGGGGCGACTAGCCATTTCTGCTTCCCAAATCAGCTCCAAACATTCCTCCCTGAAAAACGTCAGCAGAGTTAGGCTGCCAAATAAACCTCTCTCTCTCTCTCTCTCTCTTTCTCTCTCTCCCTCCCTTCCTACCCCCCCCCCAATAGTTCCAGGGTTTGAACTCAGGAGCTAAGTTTAATAAATTGGTGCTCTACCATTGAGCCACAATTCCAGCCCTGTTTTTTGCTGCTTACTTGTCTCCATCCCTCTCCATGGACTGTGATCTGCCTACTCCATGCTTCTTGCCATTGCCAGGATCACAGACACACATCACTGCATTCAGGTTCCCCCCAGGAAAGACAGAGTTCCTCAAACTTTTCTTCCTCCCAATCTCTGCTTTCCATGTGGGTTGGAACTTCTCTCTCCATGCTGGCCTCAGACTACAGTCCTCTGGATATCAGACTCCCAAATAGTTAGGACTACAGGCATGTGCCACTGCAGCTGGTTAGAAAACTTTCGTCCTTTGTACATAGAAACTTATATATTCACCACAAAATCCTGCCAGAAAAGGTTATGTATAGTTTCCATTTTTCATTCATCCTTCATGAATCACACAGCGTAGCGGGGCCCATGTCAGAGATGAACTAGTATCTGAAGGAGAGCATAGCCAGGAACTATGCTAGGAAGCCAGGCTCTCTCCAGATTCCAGGGCTGGCATCCCAGGCCCATGAAGGCCATTGCTGAACGATGAGGGACTGGTACCTCGGAATTCAGGGTTGGACAAGGCACATGACTGAGTCCCTCCGGGAAACCGATGTGGACTCTGCCACGTGTTCATTTCCCACTGCGGCGGTGATGAGCAGAATTGCTTAAAACCACACAGGCGCATTCACAGCGCAGAGGAGGGGGGAGGCAGAGGTCAGAAATTCTTTTCTTTATTTGGTTTTACTGAGTCAGTCTTGTTATATAGCCCTGGCTGGCCTTGAACTCTTGCTCTCCCTGCCTGTCTTCCCACGTGCCGACTACAGGCACATACTGTCATGCCTTGCCTGAAATCCTTTCCACCGGGCTGCAGTCAGGGTGCTGGCTGTGCTGGATCTTCCCCAGGGGCTCTAGAAAGGCCCCATGGCTGGTCTGCACCAGCCTCCAGGCTCGGGGCCTGGCCGTGGGTCTGGCGGCCATCACTCGGGGACTGCCTGCACTTACCAGCCACCACTTGTCATCCGGCCCCCACGGCCGCCAAGCAACTTCGCACATGCCCCATGCCCGGCCAAGACTCGGGCCGGGCTGAAGTGCTGGCCTTTCCAAATTACTTTGGAGAGCTCACATCTCCATCCAGGACAAGTCCAAGTCCTGCTCCCTCCTGCCTTCCCCTGAACCAAGGTTTTGAATGGCTCGAGCTCGTCCTTGCTGTCTTCCTTATCTGTGGTGAGTTTTCTTCTATCACTGGTTCTTCTATCTTCTGGTTCTTCATATACAACACTCACCCCCCCCCAAAAAAAAACAATGCTTTTAAAATCTGTGCATTTAAGTTTTTAAAAAAGAACAGTAGCAAAATATGAATGTATAACATCTTGAATAACAGTAAATAATACGGAGCTGGGGACTCTAGCCTGCTTGATGTGGGTGACATTTGAATGATCAGATCAGATCTAATCTACATTTTAGGGTGCAGGGACAGACTTCCTACCCGAGTTCTCTGAGGTTCTGTGAGACGGTACCAAGAGACCACATAGGCAAGGGCTGGCCAGAGTCCAAGCAGGACAACCCAGGAAGCGAGACTCCGAGTGCTGAGAAACCCCAGGTTGCCTCGCATATTGTCTCCCACAACCCAGGGCCAGAAGAGGAAAAGCGAGTGAAGTTGGGTTTCCTAGCTGTGCAGGCCCAACTGCTACTTGGCCACTCTCTCTCTCTCTCCCACCTGTGAAAACCAGGTAAGGACAAGCGCTTCTACTTCTCAAGGCTGGTGTGAAAGTAAGTGAACAAAAGGCAGAATTGATCACTCCTATCTATCACCATTGTTATTAACTTCCATATCCACATGGCTTCTGTGCCGTCTCAGAATTCCTCTAGCAGCCCTTCCAGGGGGTGAGACCTCCCCATATCACAAGCAGGGTAAAAGAGGTTCAGGGGTTTCAGAGCTGAGTTCCATGCCCAAGTCTTAGGCCCATGTTCTTCCCATCGTTCATCTCCTAGCCTGTTTCCTCAGCTGCAAAAGCTCTAATTCCCAAGAAGAGGAATTCAGGGCCTCCCAGCAGCAGTCTCTGGCACTGTGGAGTCAGAGTGGGGAGCCCCTAACTCTGTTGTCAGCCCCCCTGCTGACAGCGTTCCCAGAACTGGGCCAGAGGACATGACCCTGTGCCATCACCCTGAAGCTGACCAACTCCCCTTCCACCAGCAGCACCCAGACCATCAGAGCTGTGCAGTCTGCAGGCCTTGATCAGAGATGACATCCCTCGTTCCAGACAACTCCGCACACAGCAGGTGCCAAGCTTCTTCTCTGATCTGAGCTCTGTGATGCCTAGGAATCCCCAGGGACAACAGCACCTGCCTGGGGGCGTAGGGGCTTCCAAGGGGCTGTGTGGGAGATGGAGGCCAATGCTGCCAACCTTATATTAGAGCCAGGTTTGCACAGCAAGAACTTTATAAATTAGACCTTCAGGCTTTGAGGAGCCACCACTGGGAGCAGTGGGAGCAGGTGGAATGTTCTGTGGGCTACATGTATCCGTTGTACACTAGGCTGAGAGACTCTTCATTCTAAATATCCAGGCACACAGGAATGTGAGGTGCTCTAGACGGCCAGACTTCGCCTGCACATATGGGGGTCTGGAGGAGGCTGAGGCCCCCACTTCAGAGCAGACCCTCCTTTCTCAGACACTTAAAGAGGAAATGACATATAGGCCACAGAAAGGTCCCTATCAGGGAGCTGCAGGGAGCATGGAGTGGTTCCTGCCAAATAGCAACCCAGCACAGTGAGTAATGCACAGAGGTGCAGGCTGCGGGTTCTGGTCAGGGACCTGCTGTGTGGCCTTGGGCAAGTCACCTGGCCCCACTGAGTTCCCATCTCCTCACGTGTTGAGCAAGGACACAAAGAGCAGCCACTTGGTTGCTGTGAACATCATAATGGAGCAGAGCCAGAGAAACCTGCTTCCAGCCTGGTGCCAAGCATTGAGGAAGACCCTGCGAGGAGACCCACTACCAGGTGGCACACTCCCTGCTGCCTCTGCGCTGTGCTCCTCGGGGCTCCTATGTTGCTAATGAAGCTTTAGCTTTACACCCTTCCATGGCCCTTGAGATTTTTGTCTTTGTAAACTTGAATTGTCCCCCTTCAAGATCCACAGGGAAAGGGCTGCTGCCTGCCCCAGGATATATGAATCTCATCAGAAGGTGGAGCAGAGAGCAGTGATAGAGGCTGCTGGGGGTAGAGCGACCCCGTGTCCTCTCTCCTACCCCAGAGCTCTGCCTACCCCAGGACCATAGTCCCTTCTGTTCCCTACCAGGTAGCCTGTACCAGCCTTCACCATCCCTCGAGCAGTCCCTCCCGCTTATCCCTCTGACACAGGGAGACTTAGAGAAGAGAGGAGGTTAACTTCAGACCCCTGGGTCTGGAAGTCATCTAGGACAGGCTAAGGTGACCTGCTCCATATTCTATCATTTATTCCTTCCTGTTCATGACAGGAGTCTAATGGCTTGCATAAACCAACACTAATGAAGCAACTCCTTAAAGGGAGGAGAGGGGAGGGGAGGGGAGGAGAAGAGGGAGGGGAGGGGAGGGGAAGAGGGAAAGGAGGGGAGAGGAGGGGAGGGGAGGGGAAGGGAGAGGAGAGGAGAGGAGAGGAGAGGAGAGGAGAGGAGAGGAGAGGAGAGGAGAGGAGAGGAGGAAATAACCAACCCTTGGGGTTGGAGGCATGACTCAGAGTACTGGCCAATGAGTAAAAACATCAGATACCAAGTTTGTGTCCTGGTCTTGAACAAACAAACAAATAAAAACAAAAAAAGGAAAAAGGACGGTGGTGCTCCTGTTTAGCCTGGGCCTCCCCAGCCACCCCGCACCACCTCCTTACTCCCCATCCCAAGGAGGTCTTCCTCCACACAGCACCCTTCATCTCAGCTGCAAAACACACCATTAAATGACACCTTCTCTCTACTTCCATGGACATCTAATACTTCACTTAATTCCAAGAGCAGTGAAGTAACTTCCTGGAATAGGAGACACGATGGGCTGGGATAGGCTGGCACAGGTGAGAGACCCCCTCGGGCTCAGGGCCGTGATCATCAGCCAGCTGCCCCTGGGGTGCTAGAGGGTAGTTCTGTGGGAGTCTGCAGACAGCCCCAAGCCAGGAGTCCCCACCCCACTCAGTCACTTTTGGAGCACATCAAGCCCTCTGAGCCTTGCCTTTCACCTCTGAAAAGTGGGGTACATGCTTCCTCCTCTCCGAAGGCCACAGAAAGGATTGAAAAAGGTGACGTACACAGGTAAAGCCTTCCTAGAAGGGGGGGTGGGCCTCACCAAATCCTAGCTGCCCATTACTTCTGCGAGGTCCCAGACCTAGGCACTACTGTGAGCCTGGCCTGGCTCTAAAGGATTTATTTACCTGTTCTACCTCATTTAAAGTTGACACCTACTTTTAGACAAGTTGCAAACCCACGTTCATGGAAGTCAGACACAACGTGCACCGTGCCCACGATTGGCATTTCTTTTGTGGACAAAATGTGCAACCAGGCACCCAGCACTTACACCATGAAACTCCAAATCCTTGCTGTGGGAGGGAGGGAGAGCGGGAGGGAGGAGGCAATGGCCCCACGGTCTGGGGTAGGTAAAGCGGAGAGGGTGGTGGGGACAGCGCGCTGTTACCTTGGGTGGCAGGACGAAGACCAGGGGCAGCAGCGCCAGCGGCATCAGCAGCAACACCAGCAGCCGCCGTGCGCTCCAGGCCTTGTGGGCCAGCGCCGCCAGCGCCGCCATCCGCGCGATCCCCGGCGCACGGGCGGCCGGACTGCCCCTCCGGGGACCGGCGGGAGCTTAAAGACCGGGGGAGGGGCGGGGAGGGAGGGAGGGACTGCGCCTGGGCCGGCCCCGTCTCCCTCCCCGCTCCCTCCCTCTGCACCGGGTGCAGAGAACAACCGGGAAAACTGGACCCAGAGCCGGAGTGAGCCCCAGGCGAGAGGGGCGCTCAGCCCCACCCGGCCACATTGAACTGTGCGGACCCGGGCCGGAAGAGCCTCCCATCGCGACCCCTGTTCTGCCACGCGCTGTCTTGGGGATGCGGACAACGACCCCCAAGGACTCGTCCTGAGAAAGGGGGTTACCGGCCCTAGGTTGATTGGGAAGTTAAGTTGGAAAGACTGGGCGCAAAGCACACACGGAGCTCAGGAAGGGGAGCGCTGTTCCTGGGAGGGAGGAAGAGCGCGGGGTGGGGGTGTATCACGGGGTGGGGGTGCATTGTGGAATGAGGGTGCATTGCGGGATGGGGGTGAATCGCGGGGTGGTGGTGCATCATGGGTTGGGGGTGCATCGCGGGATGAGGGTGCATCGTGGGGTGGTGCTGCATCGCGGGATGGGGGTACATCGTGGGGTGGGGGCGTGCATCGCGGGGTGGGGGTACATCGCCGGGTGGGGGTGCATCGCCGGGGGGGGGTGCATCGAGGGATGGGCGTACATCGTGGGGTGGGGGTGTGCATCGTGGGGTGGGGGTGTGCATCGCGGGGTGGAGGTGCATCACCGGGTGGGGGTGCATCGTGGGGGTGCATCGTGGGTGGGGTGTGCATTGCGGGGTGGGGGCGTGCATCATGGGGTGGGGGTGTGCATCACGGGATAGGGGTGCATCATGGAGTTGGGTTGCATCGCGGGATGGGGGTGCATCGTGGGGTGGGGGTGCATCGAGGGATAGGCATGCATCGTGGGGTGGGGGTGCATCGTGGGGTGGGGGCGTGCATCACGGGGTGGGGGTGCATTGTGGGATGGGGGTGCATCGCGGGGTGGGGTTGCATCGCGGGATGGGGGTACATCGTGGGGTGAGGGCGTGCATCGCGGGGTGGGGGTACATCGCAGGGTGGGGGTACATCGTGGGATGGGGGTACATCGTGGGGTGGGGTTGCATCGCGGGATGGGGGTACATCGTGGGGTGGGGGCGTGCATCGCGGGATGGGGGTACATCGTGGGGTGGGGGCGTGCATCGCGGGGTGGGGGTACATCGCAGGGTGGGGGTACATCGCCAGGTGGGGGTGCATCGAGGGATGGGCGTGCATGTGGGGTGGGGGCGTGCATCGTGGGGTGGGGGTGTGCATCGCGGGATGCGGGTGCATCGTGGGGTGGGGGCGTGCATCGCAGGGTGGGGGTACATCACCAGGTGGGGGTGCATCGAGGGATGGGCGTGCATGTGGGGTGGGGCCGTGCATCGTGGGGTGGGGGTGTGCATCATGGGGTGGGGGTGTGCATCGCGGGGTGGAGGTGCATCGCGGGGTGGGGGTGAATCACGGGGTGGGGGGTGCATCAGAGGGTGGAGGTGCATCGTGGGGGTGCATCATGGGTGGGGTGTACATTGCGGGGTGGGGGTACATCGTGGGGTTGGGGATGCATTGCGGAGTGGGGGTGCATCGTGGGGTGGGAGCGTGCATCATGGGGTTGGGGGTGCATTGTGGGGCAGGGGGTGCATCGTGGGGCCTGGTGGGGATCACACTCTCTGAGGGGGATCGCAAGGCCTTGGGGGGGAGGATCACGGGGTCTGGGGGCAGGGAGCACAGGGCATGGAGTAGGGGAGCTTGCAGCAGATGATTTGTCCACCTGCAGCCTGGTGCCCTGCCTGCCCGGCCCAGCAAAGGCTGCCCTGCTCCTGAATACAAGTGCAGGAATGCACACCAGGCTGCAGGTTGCACGGTGGGGCTGCCTCATCCCGCCTCCCGCTGGGGGTAGAAGTGGGCCCAGGGCTTACCAGACAGGCATCTGGTCACTTGAACCAGCCTTCTCCCCACCGCCCCCACTCAGACATTTTTGTTATTTTTGCACTAGATCTCAGATTTAGGCCCAGTGGGCTTGAACCTAGATCCTATTCATGCTGCCAGTATAGCTGGAGTAACAGGCACATACCACTACAGTCAGCTACTTGTTGTGACAGTGTCTCAGAACTTGGCCTGGGTCTGGGTCTACCTGGGCATTCTGATCTGAGCCTCCCCACCTGACTAGCTGGGATTACAGGCAGGAGCCATGCTTCTGAAGAAACTGTCCAACAGCTCCCAGAGTAGCTGTGCCGGTTTACATTTCTGCAATGTTTACGTCATCCAGGCGGCCATGAGTATAGTCACTGGTTTGTATTTTAACCATGGTGGCTCTCATTTCTATTTTCCTAATGACTAATGATGTTTGGCATGTTTTCAGGCGTGAACTTGCTGTCCATGTATCCTCTTTGGTCAACTCTCCCATCCTTTGCCTATTTTCTTATTGTCAGATTTGGTTTTTTGTTGAGTCTGGCGAGTTCTTTGTATATGCTAGGCCTCAGTCCAGCATATACCTCAGCTGCAGTTGCTTCTCCCAGTTGGTGGCTTATCTTTCCCATCTTCCTAAGTAAAGTCCGCACAGAGCTGACCTGATCCATTGTGACTGACTCACCGTCTTCTTGGAGCACTCTTGGTGTGAAGCTGGATCCTGATAAATTCTTCACTGTGAAACTTGTTCCCATTAAATAATCCCAGATTGGGAATGTGGCTTAATGGTAGAGTGCTTGTCCAGCATGCATGAGGTCTTGGGTTCTATTCCTTGGTAACACATAACCAAAAATAAAGTTAATAAAATTAAAAGAAAAAAACTATTTTTAAAAACCCTTACTTCCCTCTCCTAGCCTCTGGCAGCCCTCTTCTACTATCTGTCTCGCCACTTTAAATAATAGAGGTGTCCCATGTAAGCGGTGTCACTGTCTATTAGTATTTTTTTTTCTTGTGGTACTAGAGACAGAACTCAGAACCCACTGCTGCTCTACCACTTCAGTCAGTATCTCCTGGGAGCAATGCTTCTTGGAACATGGGTGTGCAAACACCCGACTCCCTGCTTTGCAGAGGCGGAACTGCCAAGTCGAATGAAAGTTCTAGGCTCATTATGTTGAGGAACAGCTACACCCTTTTCCTCAGCACCCCATCATCTTTCATTCACACCAGGAGTGTACAAAGGATCCAATTCCACCACATCCTCAGCCACACTTGTGTTCCAGGTGTCCCCCAACAGTCATTCTCATGGGTGTGAAGGGCACCTCATGATATTATTTTCAGTGCTGGGAATCGGTCCCAGGGCCTTGCCCACTCTAGGCAAGAGCTGTGCCACTGACGTCGGTCCTCAGCCCTCATCGTGATTTGAGGTGCAGTTTTCTAATGGCCACTGACACCAAGCATCTTCTCGGGTGCTCATTAGCCCTCTGTGGAGCTTCTTTGGAGCAAAGTCCTTCGCTCTCAAGTTGTTTAGTTTTTGTTGTCTTCTGGCTTTTTCAGAGCTTGGCCTATACACAGTTACCAGAGGTGAATTATACACCTGCCTCCCCTTTTTGTCTTTTACTTGCCCTGTTTGTAAATGACTGCTTTCAATATTTCTTCTCTACACATCAGACTCTGTTACACTTTTGGCTTCAAGTATCAAACATGATTTAGAAAACTCAAGATACTAACATGTCTGTTATTAATAAACTCTTTTTTCAGTATCTTAATTTTTTCCTTTATTTTTAATGCTCTCTTCACTGAATGTAGACGTGTAAATTGAGAGCTTTTTCTTTTAGCACTTCAAAAATGTCATTTCACTGTCTAAATTTACCTTGCTTCTGGTGAGAAAGTAGGCACATTTGTACCGCTGTAGCCCTGGAGGTGATTCATGTTTCCCAGGGCTGTATGATCTCTGACTCCAGCTTTTCAGCCGTTTGGATGTACCCAGTTCAGGTGCATTTCCTTTGTACCTTTCCTTGTTTGCTGAGGTTCTGGGATCTCTGCGTTGGTGTTGTCCATCAATTTGGGAGCATTCCCAGTAATTCCCTCTTGAGATATTTCCTTTACCCAATTTCTCTCTCCTTTCCTATAATTTCAATTCCTCTGCTGTTAAAAGTATTTGGTATCATCTCACAAATTTCAGGTTCTTCCTTCCATATGTTCCCTTCTTTCCTCTATGTGTTTCAGTGTGGGCATTTTTCACTTCCTGACTTAGGCTTTGCTGGTCTTTTGTCTTGCTGTGCCTACATCTGCACTGGCACTTGTAGTACTGTCTTTCCAATACTAGCATTTTCATTCAGTTTTTTTTTCTGTAGTTTCCAAGTCTTAGCTGAAATTCTCCATTTATTTATGTGGGTTCTCCTTTAGGTAATCCCATTTTTATTTTTAGGTTGTTTTTTAAGTTTCTGCATGGGAATTACAATATGTGAACCCACTCCAGTTCTTGTATTGATCCTTTTGCCTCTTGACTGGCACATTTTCTTGCTTTCTGTGTGTTCCCTTATCCTTGAATTCAGACTTTCTGTGGGAAGGGAGAGCGTAGATGATGGCAGAACATGGACTTCATCATTCTTCTCTGTAGGTGAGCTGAGTCAGCTTCAGCTACATTCGGAGGGCTAGAGCAGAACATTTCCTCCAGCAGGACTGGGGACTGGATCATGGTGAGGTTAGATGTATGTGTCAGTTTGTCTCTGTTTTTTTCTTCTGTAGGGGCAGTTAGCATGCTTTTTGGTCATTAGGATGTTATCTTTCTTTATAAATCTTGTTCTGTTTCCTGCAGCTGGGAAAAATTTTCCAGCCCTAGCCTTAGGAGGGTTGTGGCCCTGCACACTTTGAAGGCCTGCAGTGCCTTCCACATTCCTCTAGTCTTTGGTAGCCAAAAGTCTGGAGCACCTTGGGAGGAGAGCATCTCTCGTTCCCTGACATTACTCCCAATACCTTATGGTGGAAAAATTCCCTGTGTTAATTTTTCTCCCTGCTCATCTGTCCTGCTTCCCACCCCCATTTATTTTATTTTTAATTTATCTAAGTTTTGCCTGATAACAGGGTT